TAAGCACCTAGCTGAACCCATCCTAGTCATGTTTTTGGAAAAGATTGTGCAGGTTGCGACAAAAAGTCACAAATATGTTAAGACCTTTTTTGGGTGAACTTTTGTGCCCTCTGAAAGTGTAAGAAGTATAAGTAATACCAAATGCTTCCTCCTAGGAAGGGACTTTTAATGTGTCGTTTATGATGTTCAGTCACTGGTATCTTCTTAATAAGGACACATCCGTTTATGTCATTTTTCAGGTATGATAAAGCTCATTCTTTTATATAGCCTGTTTCATCTTGAAGTGTCCTAAGCACTTATGAAATCATACACTGCTGCAGATACAGTTGAATGTATTTACCTGTGAAACACAGCATTGTTCATTAGCATATAGAAATTGAACCAGGAGTTCAGAAAAGAAAATGGTGAGGAATGCTTTATCATCAAATTAGATGGGCAAGTCAGGACAGCAGAATAAGACTTTCTACTCTGAGATTTGGCAAGGTTAAGTTAATAATCTTGTCCTTACAGAAAAACCAACAATGAGACTTAGGTCCTTTTCTTATCTCTTATTTGAAAAAGTATGTGTCTAACAACATAAATTATCTCTTGAATACAGCTAGAACACCAGCATTAGTTCACTAATGATACCAGAGAAGAAATCAGTTAGAAGCGCTACAGAAAGCAACTTCTCTCTGACAACCATTTCCTCAGTAATATCTTTTAAAGAAACAAGGTATTTTTTATAAATTACAAGTTATAGTGAAAAGTTTCATTCTCCTGCCAAGCACAAGGGGTTTCAATAGTCAATGGTCTGTAAGACTTTCAGGTGCTTGCCGTAATATTATTCCTCATTTAGGTGCAAGTGCATTACCTTTCTCTTCATATACAATTTTTTCCCTTTTTTTGTGTCTGTAGCATGAGGTCTGCTCTTAGTTTGAAAATGCTCTTACACACCCATGCAAAAATATATGCTTTGTTGTGTTATAAATTACACATTTCAGTGCATATCCTGACTTGTACTTCAAAAGGATAAAATTCACTGCTGATTTGTTTATTACATAATGTGTAGAATAAGGCCACAAATCAAAATTGGATATAATTTCACTGTCACTTGGAATGTTAATCTAACACCGGACTAATTATTATTTGTTTGTGTGTTTTGAAAGTGGATACCTATAGATAATACTGCTTGAAAACAAATGTTGCAGATAAATGGAATGGTACAAGGTATCTTGTAAAAATTTGTGTGTGCTGGTCAAAGAGTGTGCCTAGTAGTTTAAAAGGACCTTTTAAATTTCTTTTTTCATTTCTATTCTATCTCAGCAATTCCAAAGCTACTATCCTTAGAGTGGTCACATTACATGAAGTGGATAAACATCCATAGAGTTTTGTAATCTCATTCTAGCTATTAGTTTTACGATCCACCCAATGGCCTTTAGATAAAAACATCTTATGGTCATTCTGACTTCAGCCAAAGTAGAATCATGACCTTAAAATCTTCAGCAAGCCAAGTCGTCTTTAGTTGGAAGAACTTGATTTTCCTCACTGCAGGGATAGGGTTTATTGTGAAGGAAAGTGAAACAAAAACAAGTATTAAGACATATTAGATATACAGTATGATGCAGTGATTAAAAAGCATTGAGTATTCAGAAAATATTCAGTCAGTTCTTGAATCTGGTTTGAATTTGTGTAAACTTGGAGAAGCCAGTTAATCTCTTTGGACCCTATTCTTATTCTATAAGACTGAGGGTGGAAAGCTCAAGGTGATCTAGATCTTCTTAATTATTTTGATGGTCTAGTAGAAGGTGTTAGATCTATCAATACTGTTATTATTCACAGCATTCCTATTGCAAGTAATAGTAGTATTTTTTTAAAAAAGTATTAATAATTTACTTTATTTTACCCTTCCAAATGGTTTCGCTGCCCCCCATGTACACATGTACACATATCAGCACATATACAGCAGAGCCTGCACAGCAACAAAATCAATTGTCTAGGCTTTCCTAGCAGGGTACTTTGATGACACATCTGTTATTGTAGTAGCAAAACAACTGTGTTACAAAAGTATCATACAGAAAAAGCCCCCCAAAAATGTAGGAAAGTATTTGACCTGTTTAAGCCTCAGTCAAATTACATTCATTAGACCATGCAAATAAATTAATCCCATATCATGAAGCCTATATAGCTGAAGTACTTTGGAAGAGCTTTTGGAAGAAAAATCCCACCCTTCACATTCTGCAGTATAAATGTCCTGTGGAGAGACATAGGACTGCAGTCCCTAGGCTTGCCAATTCCTTATCTTTTTCGAATGTTGAATTAATATTTAAAGCTATTTATTCAAAGTTGACTTAACGACTAGAATAGGAAAGATCAGACAAATCAGTTGCAAGAAATGAAGTATGAGGAAACCAGAACTCTTTGACAAAGTATTCCTTGGAGTAAGTGTGTTGAATGAAGCCAGCAAGTAAATGATAAGGGCCTTTGTGCTCTGGATATAAGAAAGCAATTTATCAAGAGTACATGAACTCTCCAGTGACCATAAGCCAAGAAGTACAAGAGAAGAAGTCCCTATAAAATTATTTTAAAAGCTCAGACAGTTGGTTTTTTTTGAATAAGCAGTGAGAAGCTTAGGTGATGCAACATCGTCCATAAAATGGAAAGAAAATTAAATGTAAACATTGATACTGCATGATGTCTTATGCAATTCCATTGTATTTAACTTCACAAGAGGATAACAATTACCTTCATCCTGCATACCTCCCTTCATCTCTAAATTATTCACATCACAGTGAATAACATGAAATTCACATGGAAGAGTGAAAAAAACCTAGTCAGCTCAAGTAGCAGTGAATTCATGATAGAATTTATGGTAAATCAGGGGACTAATTTTTAACATGTTTAAAAGGCTGGGGTTTAGGGTGTACCTCTTATTTTTCTTTCCTCTAGAGGTTAAGTGTCAAACCTTTAACAGTCCCAATCAATTCTGCATAGCTTCAGTCTTGGTCATGAAGTTATGAGTATTGTAGTCTCTGGGGCTCAGCTGAGCACCCTTCTGCTGTAGGAATTAAAGTTAATAGTGACATTTGGAAACAAGGCCTGTTTCAGACTGCATCTGAGAAGGAATCACTATGTGATGAGTAGTGTCCCTCAGGGGTTTGTATTGGGCCCAGCACTGTTTATTATCTTCATCAGTAATATAGACAGTGGGATCGAGCGCACCCTCAGCAAATTTGCAGATGACACCAAGTTGAGTGGTGCAGTTGACATGCTAGAGCTGGACAAGCTCAAGAAGTAGGCTCATGTGAACCTCATGAGGTTCAACAAGGGCAAGTGCAAGGTCCTGCACCTGGATGAGGGCAACCGCCAGTATCATTATAAGCTGAAGGGACTGAGAGCAGCCCTGCTAAGGTACTGATGGATGAAAACCTGGACGTGAGCTGACAGTGTATGCTCGCAGCCCAGAAATGCAACCATATTCTGGGCTGCATCAAAAAAAGCATAGCCAGCAGGTCAAGGGAGGTGATTCTACCCTGCTACTCCACTCTGGTGAGACGTCATCTGGAGAACTGCATCCAGCTCTGCAGTCCTTGGCACAGGAAAGACATGGACCTGTTGGTCCAGAGGAAAGCCACAAAAACGATCAGAGGAATGAAACACCCCTCCAGTGAGGACAGGCTAAGAGAGCTGGGGTTGTTCAGCCTGGAGAAGAGAAGGATCTGGGAAGAACTTATTGCAGACTTTCAGTACTTAAAGGGGGCTTATAAGAAAGATGGGAACAGATTTTTTAGCATGGCTTGATGTGATAGGACAAGGGGTAATGGTTTTGAACTAAAAGAGGGTAGATTCAGACTAGGTGTAAGGAAGAAATTTTTAACAAGGAGGGTGGTGAAACACTGGCACAGGTTGCCCAAGAGAGGCTGTTGATGCCCCATCCCTGGAAACATTCAAGGTTGGGTTGGACGGGGCTCTGAGCAATCTCATTGAATTGAAATGTATTGGGCCCAGCACTGTTTATTATCTTCATCAGTAATATAGACAGTGGGATCGAGCGCACCCTCAGCAAATTTGCAGATGACACCAAGTTGAGTGGTGCAGTTGACATGCTAGAGCTGGACAAGCTCAAGAAGTAGGCTCATGTGAACCTCATGAGGTTCAACAAGGGCAAGTGCAAGGTCCTGCACCTGGATGAGGGCAACCGCCAGTATCATTATAAGCTGAAGGGACTGAGAGCAGCCCTGCTAAGGTACTGATGGATGAAAACCTGGACGTGAGCTGACAGTGTATGCTCGCAGCCCAGAAATGCAACCATATTCTGGGCTGCATCAAAAAAAGCATAGCCAGCAGGTCAAGGGAGGTGATTCTACCCTGCTACTCCACTCTGGTGAGACGTCATCTGGAGAACTGCATCCAGCTCTGCAGTCCTTGGCACAGGAAAGACATGGACCTGTTGGTCCAGAGGAAAGCCACAAAAACGATCAGAGGAATGAAACACCCCTCCAGTGAGGACAGGCTAAGAGAGCTGGGGTTGTTCAGCCTGGAGAAGAGAAGGATCTGGGAAGAACTTATTGCAGACTTTCAGTACTTAAAGGGGGCTTATAAGAAAGATGGGAACAGATTTTTTAGCATGGCTTGATGTGATAGGACAAGGGGTAATGGTTTTGAACTAAAAGAGGGTAGATTCAGACTAGGTGTAAGGAAGAAATTTTTAACAAGGAGGGTGGTGAAACACTGGCACAGGTTGCCCAAGAGAGGCTGTTGATGCCCCATCCCTGGAAACATTCAAGGTTGGGTTGGACGGGGCTCTGAGCAATCTCATTGAATTGAAAATGTCCTTGCTCATTGCAGGTCCCTTCCAACCCAAACCATTCTGTGATCCTATGATTCTATGAATCATCCAGGTTATATTTCTCTGGACAATAAGTGCATCTGCCAAATTCAATCTTTTAAGATAATTATTTGGGATTATTTTCTTGTCTTTCCTTTGGCTCTTCTCTTATATTTAACTCCTTTTCTTTCAGCTTTGGACAAGCTTAGTACTCAGCACCTCTACCACCCAACCCAAGTGGAGATTGTGCAGTCCAATGTTGTGTTTGACATCAGCAGCCTGATGCTCTACGGTACTCAGGCTGTGCCAGTGAGACTGAAGATACTACTTGACCGACTCTTCAGTGTACTGAAGCAAGAGGAGGTGTTGCATATTCTACATGGCTTAGGCTGGACACTTCGAGACTATGTTCGAGGTTACATCCTTCAGGTAGGAAATAAAGCAAAGCATGTTTCCAACCCAGTTAACTTAATTTTTCCTTTGTACAGATATAGTGATCATGCATCCAAACAGACAGAATGATATGCAGTAAATTAAGTGTGGCATGTTGAAGACTAGCAATGGTGCTGGCAAAATAAATACTCAATTTTTCCTAAGCTAAAAAATGCAGGTTCCTTCGTACTGTAGTATTTATTTGTCTTTGCTTACTCTTATTGTAGGAAATACCTTAAATACCACAAATACTGAGGTTAGCTAGCTGCAAGCCTGATTTGGTCATCAAAGGCAACTGGGAAGTTTTCAAGGGCTACTGTTTGACTTCAGAAACTAAGATCCAAGTCAGCAGATCCTTCATCTTTTCTTTCCTTTTTTTAGTGAGGTATCTAATAAGGGGTAGATGAAACAGGGATTGTGTTCATGGTTCTGTTGGGAAGTATCCTTACAGTGTAATATATACACAGGAAAATCTTGTTTATAAGGTCATTTTAAAAAGGTAGTTTTAAATAAAGTGTTACGTGCAGGTTGGTTAAGATAAGATAATCAAACAAAACATAAAATAAGTAAATAAAAAAATGGACAGACTTGCTTTATGAGTATGTTCATGAATGTGCGTGGTTGTTTATCTGAAGAATTTCATCATCTGTTGGGTTCCAAAGGGAATTATTGCATTTTGTAAGATTATTTCTGATTGAGAATCTAATACTGCATGCTTCTAAGTTTTCTTAATTGCTCCTGACTTTGCAGGAGCTCTACATCATCAAGAAGTCATCCAGTTACTGAAGTGGACATGCCAGAAAAACTTTGAAAATTCTAGTTTCTGATTTTTTTCTTTACTTTCTTAGGCAATGGTAGCATGCTTGGCACTGTACAGAAAATACAGGAATCTTTCTTCCTGCTCTGTGGAACTCCGACTATTTTTTAATTCCTCTTCAGTTTTCAGTCCTTTGTGTGAAAGAAGTAAATTAGCCTTATGTGATTCTATGGAAACCTTCATATACTGTGTTCTTAAAGAATTTCTTAAATGCTCTGTACATAGATTTTTCCAGAGAAGTGTTCCTAGTTGTAGAACAGACCTAGAAGAAGAGTAATAAAAAGTCTATTACTTTAATAATGAGATCCTCTTATTGTTATTAGGATACATACAGAATGGAGCTCTTTAATCGTTTTAGGATTTTCTCAGTCATCTATTTTGTAAAAGCTAAATGTTACACATGTTCAAATACAGTAGAATCCATTTTTTCTATTACCAGTCTAAAACTTACATGTAAATTTATATCCGTGATGTTTATACAGTAGATATCTATAGATGTTTGTGTGATATATATGGATGCATATGTATCTATAGATATTACATACGATATATAATTTAGATATATATGTGACTGATATCTATAAAGATACATACGGTGATGGAATTTTGTGCATATTACATCATATTTTAGATTCCTGATTCTGAATGCTACTGATCAAGAGAGCTGAAGTAATATGATTTGCAAAGGGATACATGTAAAAAAAATGCATCCTTTCTAAGATACATTAGAAAATTGCTGTTTACTAAACGTGATTAATAGTTAAGTGTAATATATTACAAGTGCAAAATGTAATTCAATGTCCCTTGTCCCTTTCAGTGACTGAAATCAGTAGTTTTCTTGTTTTAAAGGTTGTAGAATCAGGCTCGTATTGATTTTGTTTTAATTTGTTTTAATGTAATGGTATTAATATATGCACGAATGGATTGTAATATACATAGAGGTTTATACAGATTGAGATTGTGACCTATGCATCTGAGTGGTGTAAAGGCCTATAATACACCATTAGGTCAGAGTTACCGGGCTAAAACTCAATCACATTGTAGCCCTCAAGGCATGAATTTTACCATTACTACATTCAACAACAGTATATTGAGTATTATGTGAGTTAAAGGAGAGCAGTTATCAGGGGCAGCTGTTACAGTCTTGCCACATATTGACTTGGTTAGTGCTTGGCTGTTGATTCTGTTAGTGGGTGAATGAAGACCTATGATAGGTGTGGTTGAGCCTGCCTATTAGTTTGGTTCTCTGATTTCAAAGAATCACAGACTGGTCAAGGTTGGAAGGGGAATTTTGCCCAACCCCACTGCCCAAGCAGGTGCCGCCCAGAGGTGGTTGCCCAGGGCCATGTCTAGATGGCTTTTGAGTAGCTCCAGGGATGGAGACTTCACAGCCTCTCTGGGCAAAAAATGCATTTTGTTTCTGTTACGGCTAGGAAACTCAGTATATAGCAGAAAAGGGAAACTGCTTACTAAAACATGTATGAAGAGAAATCTTAGTGAAATTAATCCAATCTATGATAATAAAATAGTCTGCTTTTAAAAGTATCTCTATTGCAGCTATGATAAAAAGGAGAAAAGAGGCATGCAGGGAAATTTGAAAGGAAATGTGTAGTAACACTAGCACAGTAAAAGCACATACAGATAAGAACTACAGGTAATGTCTCCTTTGAGCAAAAGGTGTTGTTCCATGAAGCTTGTCATTATAGAATTGGAACTCTTCACAGAATTTTTTGAGGCTTTCAGATTCAGCTTTTCCACACAAAAAGCTTCTGATGAAAAGGCACGGGCCTCCTGTAGGAGAACCAAAAGTATCAAGTACCAAAAGAAATCATCCAGAATATTGCAGAGCTGTGGGATTGTTAGTAGGCTGTCATGCAGTAAATTCAGCATCTGACTCTGTCTAGATTTTTAAGTTTTCTATGCAAACCTTTCTAAGTTATAACCTAGTCCAGTCAGTGCTGGTAAGTTTATCATACATTCATGCATACTCATTGTACATCAAATAAACAAATGCATATCTCTAGGAAAAGATTTAAATTTGCTATAATGCTGTAGTTAGGGAAGTATAAACCGGTAAACTAGCTTGTTTGTGTCTAATAAAAATAATAATATAAACTTGTAATTTGACAAAATGATGAATATCGTTGGTTGGTGTGGATAAAAAAGGAATGTTAGTAGCTTTGGGAACACTTGCTCATAAATATAAAACTTATTTGAAACATACAGACTTTATATCCTAAGTCTCTTCTGAAAGGAGTAAGAGAAGTACCAGAATAGGGAAAGGGAATCATTGTGAAAGATTACAGAATACTTAGTCCTGGTTCAAGTGCCAGTGTTCACCAGTTAACCTCAGTGCAAAAGACTTGTAAAGCTGAAACAAAACTGGAGTTTCATGCCTTGGGAAGGTCTAAAACATCAATCTGTGCTGAATTTCCCCTGAATCATGATGAAAGTATTAAAATATTTTAACATTTTCCCTAAATGAGGGCTTCTTTTTTTTTTCTTTTGGGGGGGGGGGGGGGTTGGTAGACAACCCAGACATGCAGAGGACAGTGACAGGGTATAGGGGAGAGAGAGAGAAATCTTAGGGTAGATGTATCCACTCAGAATCAATTATTTTAGTATTGCCAGATATTTTCTTTTCCGTTCAAGATCCATAACGGAACCCTGCTTCCCATGAAAAAAGAAAGTATTTTTTCTCAGTAACTTTTGAGAAAAATCTCACCGTTTGCTCCCGTCGAGGAAAAAAAAAAAAAAAGAGAAAACCAGTGCCTCTCTCTAGCTGTGTATTAGTGCTTCAAGGTGGGTGGGATTATTTGTAATTCCCTCATTTTGACTAATAATGTTTCCAAATAGCAAATTAAAAAGCAGTGGGCAGAGAAGAATGTGGTATTTATTGCTTCATTCAGTGGATGCATTAATGGAGGGCAGGAAACGGAGGAACCCTGAAGCCAGCGGAGGTAATGTGATACACCGCCTTGCACATTTGGGCACAGTCACAACATTGCCAGTAACGGCTGAAAGGCATTAAGGCCTGGCAAGCTTTCTCTGGCCTCTGTGCAATAAACCTAGTTTCTGGTGAATAGATACCTATCTCTGAAATGTCAGTGAGTGACAATTTGGTCAGCAGTCTCATCAGATTGCTCACAGGATTTATGTTTCGCAGGAGAAATTGTTCTTTCATCTTTAGAAGTGATCCTCAAAAAAACACCCTGCTGCGTGGGGGAACTTTCTGGACTGTGTCTGCTCCAGAAGCACCCAGCGCACTTCAGTTTCTAGGTTTGTTTGTCCCGTACCTATCTCAGGGAACTAAATTCCTGTATTTGGTGAGGTGTTAGTAAGCATTTAGGTTTTCTCCCTGGGAACAGCAGCACAACAATTGTCTTTCCATGACAGGAAATTATTCTGTCAACAACAGTAGCTGTTTTAGGTCAGATTCTGCACCTGCTACTCAAAGAGATGTGATTAGTGGCTCTGTTGATTTGGGTGAAGTTACTTTTGCTGTAAAGAACAGCTCAACTGTAAGCAAGTCTCCAGTCCTGGTTTGGTTCCAGCGGAGCTGAGTGAGGAGGTAACTTTGCCAGCTGTTCTCCTCAGCTCCATCACTGGAGAATACTGTACCCCACCCATTTGCTAGTGTAACTACATATGTAATTGCTCCCTAGCCAGGTTCTCTCTAAACAAGCCAGGTTAAAAAATCCTCCTGCTAAACATGTGCAAGTCAACTCTGATTATTCTGAGAGGAAAGGGCTAGAGAACAATTATGCCACTAGCAGTGAACAGCTGGGGCATTCAGCTTTTGCACTGGTCCAGCTGCAGATGACAGAACATGTGACCACAACTTAGAGGCCATAAACTGACTCTTTGCAAATAATGATTCAGTGTTTTGAGTAACAGCTCAACACTTTTTCAACTGTTTTGTGATCAAACAGTTGTATTCCCTTACTGTAAAAGAGGAAAATAAATATTATCTTTACAGTACAAAGAGGAAAGCAGAGGCACTGAACAGAACACTGGCGGAATCAGGAAAAGGGACTAGACCTAGGATTTCCATTCTTACCATTGTTCCCTTGAAAAAAGTAGATTATAGTCAGTAGCTCATAGGCAATGTCTTGCCTGCCAGACTCTCTGGTGCCACTTACAGCTATGAGAAATTATTTTAAAAGTCCCCAAACCCAAA